AATAACAATGTCAGTTTATTTCGGTCAAAGGCAAGAAAGCGTTTTCATTTATATAGAGTAAATGGCATCCTATGAAATTTGACCAAAGAAAATGAAACTATTTCACTCAAACAGAGAACATACAAATAAATAATTTGGTTATTTTGGTATTCAGAAATATCCCCGATATACCTGTGTCCACATATTCTCCACTTATATTTATTAGATTAGAAGCACAAGCAAGGCTGCCATGGAATCCTGACTTTAGATGGAATAAGAAAGAAGTCAGAATTGCTGTATGCCCTGATGCTAGGAGATTTTAGGATAATGTATACCTTTCATTTTACAGATGAAGATGATGGAACCTAAGTATGTAAAGGTACTTATTCAGGATCTTCTAGATACTTGATTTTAGCTACTGCCAAAATGAAAAGAGAACGATGGTTTCACACTACAATACCTAGGAGGACACTCTTGGGATTTAAGAAGAACACATCAGAACAACGAGTTCAGTGGACCAGAAGTGAGATAGAAGGCAGCTAGCGGCATGACAGAGAAGAGTCTGGGAGGGGATTACACATGTATACATGTTAGAGTCTTCCTATGGTCTTACTTCAGTAAGGCTAGGCATACAAAGAAGTCCCTGGGTGGTGTAAATAGTTAATATTCTCAGCTGCTAACAGAAAGGTAGGAGGTTTGAATCCACCCTCAGGCACATTATGAAACACTGCCCAATCCCACACCAACCTCACAATCGTTGCTAATCCTGAGACCGACCATTGCTGCCACCGCTAGCTAATCCATCTCATTGGGAGTCATCCTCTTTTTCTCCAACCCTCCACCTTACCAAACATAATATCCTTCACCAGGGACTGGTCCCTCCTGACAATATGCCCAAAGTATGAGACAAAGTCTGGCCATTCTGACTCCCAAGAAGCATTCTGGCTATACTTCTTCTAACAGATATTGGTTTGCTCTTTTGGCAGTCTGTGGTACTTTTAATATTTTCCTCTAACTCCATAACTTAAATGCACCAATTCTTTTACACTCTTCCTTATTCACTGTCCAACTTTCACATGCATATGAGGGTACTGGTAGAATGTTGTTGTTGTTGTTGTTAAGTGCCGTCGAGTCGGTTCTGACCCATAGCGACCCTGTACAGGGTTTCCGAGGGTGTAAATCTTTACGGGAGTAGAAAGCCTCATCTTTCTCCCGCGGAGCAGCTGGTAGTTTAGAACCGCTGACCTTAAGGTTCGCAGCCCGATTCGTAACATCGCAATATATATAAAGGAGCTCTGCTAGCGTAGTGGTTATGAATCGGGCTGCAAACCTCAGGGTCAGCAGTTCGAAACCACCAGCTGCTCCATGCGAGAAAGATGAGACTCCCGTAAATATTTACAGCCTCGAAAACCCTGTACAGGGTTGCTATGAGTCAGAACCGACTCCATGGCACATAACAACAACAACATATAGCAATTCACTGCAAAAGTTTTCCAGTTTTGTTTTTGGTGGGGTTTTTTTGTAAGTTTGATATTTTTCATAATGAAATGTTTGGGGAAAGTTGCATGTATCTTTTTTTCAAAATGAAAGAATTTCTAGTTTCACATTAATATTTTTAATGGTTTTATGTAAAATTCCTTTTAATTTGAAGCACGCTGAAGTATTTTTTCCGTATACTTTCAGACAGTCTGTTAGATGGTTCAGTCATTAAATCTGCCAGAAAAAGAGCATCTCCTTGAAAAGATTTATCCGCCTGTAGTGTGGATATTAGAAGTGGACACACTTGACTAATTAAGCTAATCCCAGAAAATCAATAAGATGCCATCTAATTAAATTACAAATCTTACCTTTGGTTGTGCATGTCGGTGTGAGAGACGTGACTGAGAAAAGATTCCCAAAATAAACTTCAAAGCATCAGTGCAGAAAACTTCCAATTAACATGTTGTTGTTAAGTGCCACTGAGTCAGTTCCAAGCCATAGTGACCCTGTATAGGGTTTCCAAGGAGTGACTGGTGAGCTTGAACCTCTGACTTTACAGTTCTAAGTGACTTTGCAGTCTGGTGCATTAACCAACCCACAGCACTACACCAGGAGTCTAAATTATTTAATATCTTTTTTAAAAATTAGTTCCAGGTTAACCCTTCGGATTTGGAAAATCATGCCAAAATTTCACCTTTTTTTTTTTTTTAATATCCATAAATAAGAAAATGAAAGGAAAGAATTCCAATGTTTGTTCCTGTTTACATGACAGTGATAATGCTACAATGATCGTGGAGAGGACACAAATTCTAACAGCTTTAATAAAATTGTCCATGTAGAGAAAGAATCTAGCCCCAACCCCTCTTGGTCAGTATTGGACTCAATAACAAAAAATCTTGGGCAGTATTGGACTCAACAAAAAAAAAAAAAAAAAAAAAAAAAACCCAAACACCCCACTGCCATTAAGTCCAGCTTGAAGCAGCTGACCAGAGGCAGGTTCATCTTTCTCCAGAAGAGCAACTGGTGGCTTTGAACTGTCTACCTTGTGGTTTGCAGCCCAATCCCTAAACCACAGTACTGCTGGGGCTGCTTCATGAGCTTGATAACTTTCATCAACTTTAAAAAACTTAGACCCAGTACCTGTGATCAAAATAAACTAGGTAATAAGAAATTATACATTAGAATCTGGTTAAAAATGCAACCCATAAAATGAATTCTGTACTTCGACAAGATGGTTCACTTTAAAATCAAGTTCACTATAGTATCTGTTGTTGTTGTTGTTGTTGTTAAGTGCCATCGAGTCAATTCTGACCCATAGCGACCCTGTATAGGGTTTCCAAGGAGGATCTGGTGAGCTTGAACCACTGATCTTGCAGTTCAAACCACACCAGGACTTCTACAGTATCAGCAAGTACAAGAAAAAAAAATTACTGAGAGGTAGTGTTTTTATTCTCTTGGCACCATGGTTTCCAAGCCTACCTATGAATTATTTTTTTCTGTTTCTGTAAGCACTAGGTGAAAAATAAGATAAACTGTGCCATTCAAAAAATACAAAGTTTCAAAATGAGTGGTTACCTTTTAAATCTGCTTGCATTTGAATACTGAATTCAACAACAGTTTATTTCTTTGCAAACTCCAACTTATTATTTAAAAGATCTGAAAACATTTCAAATCTTCTTCTTTTTTTTTTTTTTTAACAAAAAGATTAAAAGGCCAGAGGAAAGAGAGAGTAATTCACTGCTAGCAGGTAGACAAATGTTAACTTGGGTGGTGAGGAGGACAATATACAAGATGGAAGAGGACACTATGAAAGAAGAAGGAGGCTGGCAGAAGAATGATGAAGATAGGTGAAGACACAAGGAGGTATGCAAGGGCTAAAGAGGATAGAAGTAAATAATGCTATATAGACAACTTTGGAACAGCAGTGTTCTGTGTATAGATACATGGACAGAGAAACAGGCTGAATGGGTATGGGAGGAAGAGTGGGATATATGTGTGTGTGTGTGTGTGTGTGTGTGTGTGTATACATATATATGTATGTATTTATATATCCCACAAATATGTAAGAGTTTGAAAGAGGATATTTGTACATGGGTAACCACAGGGAGGAAGTGGGGCAACTTTTGTTGCATGGAGGGGATTGCAATCATTGGGATGATTTGTTGAATGTAAACTGATGATCAAAAATATCCCTTGAAGTCTTGTTAAAACCAAATAATAGTTTAATTTAACTACCGATATAGGATCAAATTGACAATAGCAACTCAAAAGATTAGGTCTGAACCTTAGGAGGCAGTGAGTTTATGTTAGTGGGGGAGCAAAAGTTCAGGAAAGGAGGGTTACACAACTCAGAGTGTTATCAATGTCACTAAATGATACATGTAGAAAACTTGAAATGGTGCCTTTTTGCTATGTGTATTCTCAGTAACAACAACAAAGTACACCCGAGAGTGATTTCCTATTATAATAAGAGTTCAGTTCTCCTCTGGCTCTGCCATGTATGTGTTACCTGTTCAGTAATGTAGAATGTGGGTAGAAAAGACAGAGGATGGTGTTACCTGTTCTGTTTTTCGTTAGTAAAAATAGTTGGATGCAAACTGTAAAATGCTGTCCCATCTGCATAAATATCTTCGATCTCTATAAGATTCCCCACAAAGCATTTGAGTGGTAATTTAAAGATGGTCTCAAATTCTTGTTTTCCTCCCATTAAAAGGTAGATACAAATTTGCAGTCACCATAAAAAAAATTCACCTATCTTAAGAGTGCTATTAGGAGCTCTGGTAGCATAGTGGTTACAAATCAGGCTGCGAACCGCAAGGTCAGCAGTTCAAAACTACCAGCTATTGCATGGGAGAAAGATGAGGCTTTCTGCTCCCATAAAGATTTACAGCCTTGGAAACCCTGTACAGGGCCGCTATGAGTCGGAACTGACTCCACAGCACTTAACAACAAACAACAACAAGAGTGTTATGCTGTGAGAAAGTTCCAGCTAGTCACACTGAGGATGCGTAGAAAGAGAATGATACCCAGGCAACCCCTAATTCAACCATATCAGCCTAGGTCCACATGTGAATGAAGAAACCCCATTCATTGTTAAGAGAAAACATAATGTGAGAAAGACCAGGGAAATCCAGCAATGATCAGAACCAAGGCCCCGGATATTTGGCACCACTAAAGTCCTTCCAACTCTCTCCAGCCATTTAAGTCACCCCCAGACAAGGGCCCAGGCTACATGGAGCATATATGAGCCATTTCTGCTGGATCTTGCACAAATTCCTGGCCCACAAAATGATTATTGTGTACCACTAAATTTGGGGGTGATTTGTTTTACAGCGAGTGATAAGTATAACTACTAGTTAACCCCCTCTTTGGGTTTTATTTAGTCATTTCACAATGTTTGCCAAGAAGTTTTTTAGCCAACACTGACTGTGCAAAGAAAATGTTGACTAGGAGAAGATTTGTTATAACTTAGTAGCAATCCATGCTACAGAGCAGTGATATTTTATAGAAAAAAGCAAAATGTATATCTTTTCTTTTGACAGGTATCTGAGATGTTACTACTGAGCAGTCCGAACTTTAATTACCATTGGAGGCCTTCCAGGACCACAAACAACATTTGAAATTGTTTTCCAACTCTTGAATTTTTGGGGGGGAGGGGGAGTTTTTGTGTTTTCCAGTTTAATTGGTCAGGTAAAGTGGAATGTGAATTACTAGATACATAAGTCTATCGTTTCAGAAAAGCCACCTATTCTTTATAAATCTTACAGAGGAAAAATCAAATTCTGACTCCTTTAACTTTTATCTATTTTAATGAACTGGGGGAGATTATTGGGTAAACACTGCCTTTCAGGTTTTAAAACATGTCAGACAACTTAGTGGAATCTTTAGCCAAATATATCTGAGTGAATGTTATATATTCCCATTCAATCATATTGTATTATTTTCTGTTACCCTGGTTCACTGATGCATTTCAAATGTGGGCTATAAAGATCTCAATCTCTTCATTTGAATTTGCTCAAAGTTAAATACAGAATATTTATTAATACTATCTAGATAAATTAGATATTACACTCAGAAGACCTATCAACAATGAAGGTTAATTTGAACTCCCAAAGAAAGCAAAGCTTATAAGCTGACTTCTTACTTGGAGCATCCAAAAAAATCCCTCAGAAAGGTTCTTATTTATTTAAACTTCAAATATTGTCACAAAGTTACTGGGTTCAAAGGGACTTCAGAGATCATTTTAACCAGAGGTTACCAAATGCCATCTAAACTAATAAATCTTTGGTTCATTGATGTTTATTATGGCAGCCGTTTGCCTTTATTTTCAAGGAATCACAGTCTAGTAATAAAGTAAAATAAATACAAACATAATTATATTGCAAGATACTAGTCATTTGCAAGGGATATAGCCCTAAATATTTGTAAATTCACAAATACTCAAGAACAACTCTACATAATAGCATCTTTAGAAGTTATACTTTCCTGAGAGGTATTTTACAATCAACATGTTAGAGAACTAAAAAGTCTCACTGACATTTGTGTGCTGGGTGACAAGGTAGGCTAAATCATGAAGTAATTAGTTCCACTAGTCCCCATTCACACACAGTGGTATGAATAAAACTCATGCTTTAGCAAACTTTTATAATAAAAACTGTGCTTCATGACATTTGAAGGTGCTTACAAACATGCAATCAAAACTCAAATCCTATAGCTATGAATGTCAAGGGTCTACAATACATGATGAATAACAGAAGTAAGATTAAAAGCTCTGTTAGTTCCAAAAAAAGCAGACTTCCCAGTGCCTAAAGGAGAATACACTTAAACCATCTTTTAAAAAAAACAAAACAGGTAGGAGCCACTCATTATAGATAGTTGTTCAATCTATCAGGCTGAGAAACAGTGTGTAAAACAATAGCAGAGATGAAGTACAAGATATGTTAGGGGAAACAGGAAGAGAGAGAGCTAGACATTGAGGTTGTTGAAGAATATTTGGAATATATGTCTCAAAAGGATGTATCCAGATTGATTATTTACATAGTCCCTTCTCAGCAGATACTTCCAATGATTACAGTAGCCCATTAACTCTGGAAATAGAAACTGAAGAATACATCACAATAAACACCATTTGAGCTGAACCTCAAATGAATAGTTTTCCCATAAGCAGAAAGTGCTCAGCTACTAGAATGAATGAGCAAAGCCTTAAGAGTGTGAAAGTGGAGCTCTGGTTTCTTCCCTATTATAAACTCACAGTCAAAGCAAATTTATAACTACCTCCTTCCCTCATGTGAGAGGAAGAGTTGAACTATATATCTTTTTTGTGCCGAGACCTTAAAGATCAGCTTTTAACCCAGAGTGGATTTTTATGGCTGAGTTATAAACATCCAAGAACTCAAACCTGACAGTTCCTTAAGTATTGTCACAGCAGTAGATGATGCTTCAGTAATTTCAGTACATTTCCACTTCTGCTGAATACTGTGCCTTAAGAATGAAGAGATTTGATTTTATCTGTCGAAATAATACAAAGGAAAGTACAGAGGTTGCAATTTCATGATGAATTGAGTCTGTATACTCAGCCACACTGGATGCTCTATGAAAGGTGCCTTCACAGTGAGCTACTCCAAAAGGGACTGGCTAACCTGCCAGTAATTGCTCTCTTTCATTGCACCTTCCTGCCACAAGCACAAACTATAATTTTTAAAATGTTAACTAACATTTTTGTAGTAATATACAAGTTTACCAAGAAGATTCATATGCTTTATGTGACGGAATCCTCACGAAAACTGCACATGATAAACAAAACGGGTCTTACTGTCATCGTTCTTGAAAAGGAGATGATTTTCCCAATATTTTATGGCAGACGAAAAATTAGGAAATCAGTATCAATGTGCTTAAAATCAGAGTCAGTGTATTACTAGAGAATTGATCATGTGGAAACAGTTATATTCAACTGAACTTTTAATAATTATTCCCAGTTTTCTGCGGGGTGTGGACTGACCATACTTGTGTTATAGAGGCGAGATGTAATTGGGGCTGCCACAGCCAATCAGAACCACTTCCGCGTCTGCGTGGATCGTACTACTGTCTACTTGAACACTTACTCCGTTACCAAAACTGTGCGGAATTGGGTTTGGACTTGGTATGAATATACGTGGGACTCTCAAAGAATGCTAGATAGGCATGTCAAATGACTGACTCAGTGCCTGTGAACCACGTAACGCAATGAATGTTCGTATGGTAAAAGCAAAAACAGTGGGGGCGGCAATGAGTTTGAACATAGCAGTAATTTCAAGGATGGTGCAGACCGGAGCAATGTTTCCATCTGTTGTGGGTAAGATGACTATGAGTCGTAACCCAATAGCACATAACAACAACAAAAAAGCAAAAACTGGATAGATTTAAACCAAAAAATAAAACCTATTAGATAATTAGATAATCTTTAAAATTATAAGTTTAATTCTGTGGAATTCTTCTTTTAATATCCAGTTATCTTATGCTGGACTCCTGGTGTGGCACTGTAGGGTCAACACAAGACTGTGAACGACAAGTTTGTCAGTTCAAACTCACCAGCTGCTGTGCAGAAACCCTATACAGAGATGCTGAGTCGGAACCAACTCAGCAACACAACAGTCTTACACTCGCACTTCACAAAGCAACAACAATATTATGCTTGTTTTATGTAAACCCTGTAAAGGTAAAGGCCAAATTTAATTCAGTGCCTATAAGATATTATATGTATTACAAGTATATTATATGTACAGTTTCATATGTTCATGAAGAAAATGAAGGACAAGGAGGAGAATCAGGCAAATTGTCATCAACCTCTTTGTAGACACAAGTATCTGAAGGTTCTTAACTAAGAAATTTGGCCCAGGACAAATTTGGCCCAGGACAACCTGCAACAGAACAGTAACTCAACCTCCTGTCTGTTCTCCAAAACTCTGGCTCTTTCTGCAACACCACACTCCCTCTGGGAACACAAAGAACAGCAGTTTTTCAAGCCACTTCCATCCTGTTGTGGGAAGCTCAATTGCTTTTAAAAGATCCTAGAGAATAATTATTTGTTTCAGAAAGAGCCCTGATGGCTTGGTAGTTAGGTCCTTGACTACTAACGGAAAGGTCAGTGGTAGAACATTATTGGTCATTCTATGGGAGAAGGTTGTAGCAGTCTGCTCCCATAAAGATTACAGCCTAGAAAACACTATGGGGAAGTTCTACTCTGTCCTGTTGTTGTTAAGTGCCATCCAGTCAGTTTTGACCCATAGAGACTCTGTATAGGGTTTCCAAGGAGTGACTGGTAGGTTTGAACCGTTGACCTTGCTGTTAGCAGTCCAGTGTAATCCTACAGTGCCACACCTATAAATTGGAATTGACTCAATGGCACACAACAAGAAGTTATAACCCAAACCCAAACCATTACCCTCCATTCAAATTCTGTAGTCTGTATGGAATACACAGTCACTTTAACAAAAAGATTTGGTTGTTGCTCAACCATTTCAAGAGAAGGAAGTTGCATTGATGGCATTTGTGAAAAACAAGGTTTCAGAATTCATAGAATACAAATTGTAATGTTTCAGCAAATTGATGCAGTGCTGGAGGCACTCACTCACCTATGCCAAGAAATTTGGAAGACTGCTACCTGGCCAAACAATTGGAAGTGGTCCATATTTGTGCCAATTCTGAAGCAATGTGACCTAATGGAATGCAGAAATTGAACTATATATCATTGATATCACATGCAAGTAAAATTTTACTCGATATAATTGGAAAATAGTTACAACAACACATTAACAGGAACGACCAGAAATTCAAACCAGATTCAGACGAGAATGTGGAATGAGGGATATCATTGTTGTTGTTGTTATGTGCCATGGAGTCAGTTCAGACTCATAGCAATCCTGTACAGGGTTTCCAAGGCTATAAATCTTTATGGGAGCAGAAAGCCTCATCTTTCTTCCGTGGAACACTAGGTAGTTTCGAACTGCTGACCGTGAGATTAGCAGCCCAATTCATAACCACTATGCTACCAGAACTACCAGAGATCTTCAAATGGATCTTGGCTAAAAGCAGAGAATAACAGAGATGTTTACTTGTGCTTTATTGACTATGCAAAAGAATTAAATTGTGTGGCTAACAAACCATGGATAATATTATAAAGAATGGGTATTTCAGAATTACTTAATTGTGCTCATGAAGAATCTATGCATAGACCAAGAGGCAGTTTTTCAAACAGAACATGGGGATACAGAATGATTCAAAATCAGGAAAAGTGTACACTAGGGTTGTATTCTTTAACCGTATTTATATAATCTGCATGCTGAGAAAATAATCTGAGAAAATGGATTATAGGGAAGAACATGTCATCAGATTGGAGGGCGAGTCATTAACAACCTATGATATGCATAGGACACAACCTTGCTTGCTGAATGCAAAAAGGACTTAAAATACTGATGAAGATCAAAGATGACAGCCTTCAGTATGGATTACACATCAATGTAAATAAAACAAAAATTTTCACAACTAGACCAGAAAATAATATCATGATAAATAGAGAAAAATTTAACTTGTCAAAGATTTCATTTTGCTTTGATTCACAGTCAGCATTCATGAAAACAGCAGTCAAGAAATCAAAAGATGTACTGCATTAAGCAAATCTGCAGCAAAAAGATCTCTTGAAAGTGCTAAAGATCAAAGCTGTCATTTTGAGGACTAAGGTCTGACCCAAACCATGGCATTTTCAATTGTCTCCTATGTATGTGAAATTTGCACCATGAATAAGGAATATCATAGAAGAACACATGCATTTGAATTATGGTGTCGACAAAGAATATTCAAAGTCCTTTGGACGGCCTGAAGACCACACAAGTCTGTCTTGAAAACAGTACAACCCGAATTTTCCTTAGAAATAAGGATGGCAAGAGTTCATCTCTGGTTCTTTGGAATGTCAGGAGGTATCAGTCCTTGGAGAACATCATGTTTCGTAAAGTGACAGGTCAGCAAAAGAGAGGAAGACCCTGCAATGAGATGGATTGATACAGTGGCAGCAACAGTGGATTCAAACATAACAATTGTTGAGTACAGTGCAGAACCTGGCAATTTTATTCAGTTGTACATAGGGTTATTATGATTGGGAACTGACTCAACAGCACCTAACAACAACAATCTTTAAGGAAGCAGATTGCCAAGAATTTTCTCCCTTGGAGTGGCTGGTGGATTCAAACCACCAACCTTTAAGTTGTCAACAAGCTTACATACTGTGCCACCAGGACTCCTTGTCTATTATTAATACTACAATGTTGGAGTAAAAACATTAAAGGATTTAGCTTAAGTTACAGATAATGTGCTAGTATTGGTGATAATAAAATTTAACTTTCAGTTTGTTCCTTACCATATAAAAATAAAAATTAGTGCCAATGGGAAGCCAAAAAGCTATTGCTTCCAAAATGAAAATTAAGATTTTCAAATAGCAAAGGTTCTTAAAAGCTAAATGAAATCCACTACTTGATGACAATAAGACCTTTTCTTCACCTCTTTTGCACAATTAGGAGATTTCACCCACTATGCTCTGAACCTCTTCCCAAATCATGAGCATCTAAAGCTATTCTGAAGGTATTTCAATGGGGAGGGAAAACAAAACAAAACAAAACAAAAATACTGGTGGACTCCTTTCCTCATTCCCTTGAGCAGTAGTAGATATATTGCTCCAATTCCTTGGCTTAAATATGTAACTAGAGACTAACAGCCATTTGAGTCCAGAAACTATGTTCTTTTACAGAGGGTTTTTATCTTCAGAATCAATATTATAATCCAAATAGGTAAGATATAGCAATATTTTTCTTTCTGAATAGAAAACAGACATCAAAAATAATCAACTCAGAAGCCCTTAGCACATTAGACACTAAAAATGGACAGTTTTGTTTATGAAAGAGTTTATTCACCTGTAGGCCTATCATTTAATTTGAATACACATGTAAAAAATCTGTAAAGTTTTTTACTCATATTGATCACTGAATCAAGGAGATAATGATAGTTTGGATGTACTCAGTACATTTCTTCTTTGGATTCCATTCCTTGCTGAGCTATCTACTAGCTGAACACAGTCACTTACAGACGGAGTGAGATTCATTTGTTTTTGCTCATCTTCTTTCTGCAAAATGGGAATGATACTCCTTCCACTTAGGGTGTTGTAAGAGTCAAATAAGAGAATTAATACAACTGAGCCCTGCAACCTTTCAGATGCCACATAGAGTTTGTTATTATTTGCCATCTATCAGATATAGTAGAAATCCGAAGACAAGCACAGGATCCTCTACTTGTTTCAGCTCATTCACTAGCCTCTGTCCCATAATCATTAAGCATTTTATCTGAATTTTAGTCAAAAAAATATGTTCTAGAATTACTAAAGAAATATGTCATTAATAACTGAAATAAGTCTTTTCTTTAATGAACATATTTGTACTATTGTGCATACATATTTATGTCCAATTGAATAACAAAAATACAGCATTGCATAACTCTTCTATTATAAAATGAGTTGGCATTTTGTTTCCTTAAAAAAATTCTATCTTTTCCCTAAAAGCCGAGACTGTAAATTCCAAAAAGGCAAGTTCCCCACCCCACCCAAAAAAAAAAAAAAAAGCTAAAGAGGATAGAGAGAGACACTGTTAACTGATGATATATGGAGGGGATAATAATCAATGTAATGAAACAAGCTATATGAATGGTTGAATGTGAAGCTGATGATGTGCCCTGTAAACTTTCACTCAATCCAAAATAAAAACATTTAATAAATAAAAAATAATAATTTTTTTTTAATTCTATCTTTGTACTTTAGTGACTTATTTCATTAACTAGTTTGCTTTGGGTGCTCTTTGTCTTTTTGAAGATGAGTCCAATCTTCTTGAGAAACTGCCCTCTACAATACAGTTAGCCCTCGCCATTGATGAAAACTTCAGCATCATCAGCAAAGTCAACTTGTTCAAGGCAAGTGTCTTTAAAAGTAATAGGAAAATAGCTGTATCTGTTTCTCTGTAGAATTTAAGCTCTTGCTTTACACAGCAGTTATGATTTTTTTTTTTTATTTTGCATGATGTTTTAACAAAGTCAAAATAACCTGGAGAATTTATGTGGATTTAAAGAGTCAAATAAATTATGAGTCTCTCTTCAGCAGACGACTTATTCTTTAGAAGCCTCTCTCTCCTAATTGATGTCAAAGAAGAAGAGTTCTTCCAACTCTTCTTGCATTAATTTAAATATAATTAAACTCTACAGCTCTATGTCTTTGTTAATATGCACATCATCCCCTGTTTATGAATGTGCCTTGGTGATACATGCCAAATCAGACCACAGATTAGCTCTGGATTGGCCTGACAATCAGAAAATCATGCCTAATCATGTTTCCTATTGCAAATGCTTTGGGTTTAGACTTCTAACATGGTGAGATTTAAATTTAGAGGCTTATTTTCAAGGGGGAAAAAATGCATAAATTGTTTTAACTCTTGACTGTTTTTCATTTTACTTATGTCTTTTTTATGCATTATATTACATGTACATTTATTCACCTAAGATTTATTTATGTACATGGCATTCACTAATTCATCTATTAAATTAATCTGGTCGACAAATACTAAATTCCTGCTATGGGAGAAAGATGAGGCTTTCTGCTCCTGTAAAGATCCGCAGCCTCGAAACCCTATAAAGGGACGCTACAAGTTGGAACTGACTCACTGACACACCACCACCACCACTATATTCTGCACACTGTGTACGCCACTGAGGATACAATGTTGTTGTTGTTATGTGCCATGGAGTCAGTTCCAACTCATACTGACCCTGTACAGGGTTTCCGAGGCTGTAAATCTTTACGGGAGCAGAAAGCCTCATCTTTCTCCCGCGGAACGGCTGGTAGTTTCGAACTGCTGACCTTGCGGTTCGCAGCCCGATTCTTAACCACTACAGAGAAAAAACATATTTATACACATAGAGCTTAAATTCCAGAAGAAGGGCACAAAAATTAAATGCATAACATGTACAAAATGGTGTTAACAGTTTATGTTCGATTGTTAATCTAAAGGTTGGCAGTTTGAACCCAGTGGTATTGCAGAAGATAGTCCTTGTGATTCAGAAAACCCCATGGAACAATTCTCCTCTGTAACACAGAGGGTTGCTATGAGTCAGCATAGACTCAAGGGTAACTAAGAACAGCAGAGGCAGAGGATAAGAGGGTGGTGTTGGTCATGAAAGGCCTGTTCTGTTGTACTACATTTGAACAGAAGACTCAAGGAAGTGAGGGATTGAGCCAGGCAGAGGGAGGCAAGAGGGACTATTCCAGGAGGCTCAACCAACTGAAGTCCTGCACTGGGGAATACACTGCCAAGCTGATCAGAATAACAGGAGAAGAGACTGAATAAGGGAAGGCAAGAGTGTCAGAAAAGAGAAAAGGGTGGTTGAAAGGAGATGGCAATTTGATGCAGGACTTTGGAGCCTGTGATTGTACTCTGAGACAAAAAGTCATTAAAGATGTTGAGAAGACGGTTACATGGTAGAATCAGTTTGAAAAGAATTCTTCTTATTGCTGTATGGAGATAGACCTGAGGAACCAACTGTGAGGCCAAAAAGGAGTTATTTTAACAGTCTAGAAAGGAGAGGATGATGACTTAATCCAGGATAGTAGCAATAGAATTATTGAGAAGTGGCCAAATATTGGATGTACTTAAAGGTGGAGCCCACAATTGTTGCTCTTTTGTTGTGTGAATCAGTAGTCCTGGAATGCACTATAGGATAAGCACTGGACTGCAATATCATTTTGAACTGTAAGGTCAGCTGTTCAAACTCATACCAGTCGCTATGAGTTGAAACCAACTTGACAGCACTCAACAACAACAACACCTGGGACTCCTGGTGTGGCTGGACTAGGAACCACAAGGTCAGCAGTTCAAACCCACCAGTTGCTCCTTAGAAACCCCACTCAGGATTGCTATGAGTGGAAACCAACTCAATAGCACTTAACAACAACAATAATTGTGTGAATCAGAGAAAAAAAAGGGAGTCAAGGATGATTCAAGGATTTAGGCTTGTGCAACAAGAATAACAGAGGCAGTAGTTGCAAGATGGGAAAATTTAGATAAATGCAGATTGAGTTCTAATAAAACAAATTTTTGTTTTTGAACAGGTTAGTTAGAAATGAATGTTAGGCTTACAGATGGAAATATCATGTAAGCAGTTTGATTCATAATTCTGAATTCAGATGAGAGGTTCAAGTTAGAGGTATAAATTTGTACTTGCACTTTTAGCCATGAAACAGACTGTAACCTCCTAGGACATAAGTGTTGGTATCGAGCAAGGTCAGCTTGATCTGCAAGATTAGCAGTTGAAACTCACTAGCTGCTCTTCAGAAACCCTGTATGGGTCACTGTGAATTGGAATCGACTCAACGGCATTTAAACAACAACAAGAAGGACGTAAGTGTAAAGAAAAGAAAGCAAGTATAATTCAAGTGAAATACATGCCTTGGAAATACATTATGAATACCCCTGGGAATAAGACAAAGGAGTGGAAACTGGGTGATAGAAAGGTTAGACAAATTCACTATGAATGTTAGGTTAAACATGACATCATGGGATAATAAAGTTAGGTGAGTATCCTGAGGCTGTTTTCCTTGGTCATGTCTGTTCTAAATTTTCATCAATATTTTGATGAAGACATAAAAGGTGTGATTTTCAAATCAGCAGATGACAAAGTAAAAAAGACACCTTTCATATGTTATATTAAAATTTTTAAATTAGCACTTGTTGTCGGATAAGCACAGGATCCAAGGTCTGTTTGAAATGCAAGGTGGCAGTTTAAATCCACCAGCCACTCCTTGGAAGCCTTATACAGGGTCACTATGAGTCAGAACTGACTCGATCACACTAAGCAACAACTACTTTTAAAATAATGTGCAAAGTCAACAAAACTAATTTCAATAAGCTTAACAGTAAAATTCTGAATTTCAGTATAAAATTAAAATATTACAAAT